GGAGTCTGGCCATACTTGCCACATCCACCCAGCCGCATCCTGCAGTGGTGGCGAATGGTAGAGCAGTGGATGCTCCGGATGCCACTTTACTTCCCCATGCCACACCGGGTCAAGGGTCAGGACCACAGCAGCAGTTCACGTCCGTTGCACACCTAGGTCCCTCGCGGAAGCGATGAGCACGGACACCCCTGAAGATCACCTGGTGCCAGGCGGAAGAAACAAAAGGAGGAGACACAGGTCAAGCCCCGGGGTTGAGAAAGGGCGCGCCCTTCGTTGAACCTCTCGCGGCTTCAGCCAAAATGGCTACTCTCTTTCCTGTCACCAGGGTAGAGTGGGGTAGAGGAAGGGGGACCGACCCACCGCCAGGCGCCCCCATATCATTATTATTATTATTATCATCATCATCATCATCATCATCATCATCATTATATGGGAGCGTGTGTGCCTCTCCAAGACATCCATGACAGATTCGCCATGAAAATTTGCCAACAAATCAAGGGAAACTCCACGTGGAAAACAGCAAGAAGAGTAAAAAAAAACAATGATATCAGTATTGGCTACTCTCTCGCTTGCTTGCTTGCTTGCGACGTTTGGGGCCGAGGGGTGCCCCCCGAACCGCTCTCTATCTCTCTCGCTCTCTCTCTCACTCTCTCTCTCTCTCTCGCTCGCGCTCTGCAGCTGCATGCTGATGGTCGCTGAAATGAATTCGTCCAAGCATCAAGTCTTTTTCGGGAAAGAAGCCAAGTGGACCATTTGAGCCCCAAGACTCTGCGAATGAAGTTCTCAAGTCATGAACAAGGTCTGCCTTCACATGCACTCATGTTTGCAAATTGCAGGCCAAGGCTCCCAAAGAAAAAGATGCTACTGGAGACACATCCACTGAGACCCACCATCATGATGCCGTTCAGTATGTGCGCCTGGGAACACAAGACTTGTTGCGCAACACAGGATGGCTACAAGCTCTACATTGTACATGTTGCATGGTTCCACTGTCGACTGCTCCGCAATGTCAGCTGAATCGCTAGGCTGATGCCGCCGAAGGTGAAGGAATTCAATCCGTCTGCCAATCTTCGGAACTCCTGCGACGGAGAAGCGAAACATCCACGAAGGATGCCCTGAGTCGGGGTCATCAAGATATAGCCAAGCAGTGACGAGACCGACCGAGGAATAAGGATCACGACCACCCTGGCTTTACAAAGACCCGCGCCAGAGATCGTAGCTCGCGAGTGTTGGCTTGGTCTTTCGTTGTTCTCACTTCCTAGCCCATCAGAATTGCAGGAGATGGCTGGTGCCAGATGAGGCCGACATCCCCACAATCGATGCAGCAATCTGCAACTGGCTTCTTTGTCAGTGTGACAGGTGCACTGTTCACAGAATGCTTGCTCGAAACCTCCTTGTCAATGTCATCCAGACCGCTGACATTCACAAAGTGGTCGACCAGATCTTGAGAAAGAACCTCTGAAACGAAGATTCGGCTAGACGCTTGCAGTAACTCAAGAGTGCAAGCCTGCCCTGTGATGCTCTGCACATTTTGGATGGCAAGATGAACAACACAAGCCTCGGTGGTGCCGTCACCATTCTGCAACCTCGTAGAGGCGGGTTCAGGCAGCCAATCGCAGCAGCTCTGCAAACCACGATCCGTTTAACTCCCAACATGCAACCCAGCCACCAGTCTACATAATAACACACATAGCCACAGAACAAAACAGCGCCTCCAGGGATTCTTGCAGAAGTGACTACGTGTTGCAGGAAACTGACGGCTGAGCTCGCAACCAGCGAATAGCAACAGTGTTATGCTGTGCAGGACGAGCGCCGATCTAAGGATATTTGCATACCTGTAGCGAACAGCAACGAAAACAACGCCTACATGCTGGCGGCCGCCTCAGACAATGTGCAGCTGTGCAGCAATGCACGCTTAAAAGAGTATTGAAAATTGCATTGGTCGCACTTGTACCTCCGTCGTGGCAACAAATGCAGAGATTCGTCCACGCATGCCCCCTACAACGCGATTGCTGGTATGCAATCAAAGAGCGCCGACTGCGGATTTGCGCTTGATGCTCTCCACATGTTCAAGCACTCGAGGTGCACATATCTCATTGTGCCTGAGCCTGGCAAGTTTTCGCAGAGCTGCGTTAAGCACTGCCATTATGCTCTGTGAAGCACAGCACACCACTTCGCCCAAGGAGCACAGACATGGCGAGATGAGTCCTTATTCCACACGATGAGTTTTCAACTGGGCCATGAAGCATGTAAAAAATCCTTAAACTTCAGCTGTGTTGGCTCAGAAACTTGGGTCTGATGCAAGCCTTGCTTGCACAGGTTCTCGGACTAATCTCGTGGATTTCGCTCAAAACCAGCATGCAGGACACATGCGACACGGTGAGGAGAGTAAATTGAGTTTCAGCCATGCGAACATACTGAAAATCGGAATCAAGACCAGCTGCTTCCATTCTCGGTGCCACCAAAACAAATGCGGCAAGTGGGAAGGCCGCTATCCAAGTCGCCAGTTCCCTGCAGCATCATTTGGCAAATTTGTCGGACCCATGGAACCCAAAAGCCAGGCCTCACTGACATCAGTGCGTCCGAGCCGTGCAGCGAAAATGCGCTGCCCGTGCCGCTGGCTGCAACAACGTTGTCGAAGGCGGACAACGACATAGCTGCTCCACGCAAGCCAAAGCCAGAACCTCAACAGCATGATTCCAGCACACCCTTTTCGGTACCAAGATGATGGGTGACAATAGTAGCTGGGATTTTCGTATTTCGACAACTTACCTGAAAAAACGTCGTTTTGACATGGATCAGATCTAGGACCAGATAGATGATGGGGCTCACCACCTTCGAGCATCAAGTGCAAGAATGTCCCTTGCATTTGCTTGGTGAGTTTCTTCAGCACACCATCACACATCGGAAGGCGCGTGACAAAGGACAGTTGTCTTCGCATTGGCGCTCGCTGCACACTGACTGCGGAGGCAGGCAGGCGGAGGGCAGGGTAGGGCAGGGCAGGGCAGGGCAGCGGAGGGCAGGGGAGGGCGGGGCAGGCGGCAGGGCAGTGGCGGCAGGGCAGGGGCAGGGCAGCGGCGCAATGGCGGGCAGTGAGGCATGGAGGCAGGCCGGCGGGCAGGCAGGCAGGGAGGGAGGGAAGGAGGGAGGAAGAGATGCTTAGGAACTTACAGCACTGGCATGGCCGCACACTTACATGTGTTTCGCGTAACCCTTTGCCTCTCAAGTGGTTTCAAGCCACTGGCTCTCTCTGCATACCAGTAACTCCAACTTGTTGTCCCATGCAAGGGCGTCTTTACATCTATCAAATGACACTCCATCGATTTCCGCTAAATTCCCAAAAATTCTAACCTGCTTGCACCAGTCCACGAGCAGGCACCGCCCTGCACTTCGAACGAAAGCGCGGTTTGCAGCCAAGGCTGCAGATGCTCCCCATGTCCTGAGTTTCAAAGCAGTTCTAGCAGAGGAAACGAAAGGGGAGGAGGAGTCCGTACTAGACGCTGTGATACCTTGTGTATCATATTATGCATGATGATTTGAGAATATGTTTCGTATTTTGTAATATGTTCTACTATATTCGGCTATGTCATATGATATGACGCCTTACCATATCTTACCAGAAACAAAGACAGCCTACAACAGTGCGGTTATGTCACAAATACTAGGACATACTGAATATTATTTGCTACACCTTCCATCCTATAGTAAACCGTACTATGATATGAAAACTCACAGCATGACATTACTAGAACAGAATATAAGCTAGCAACATGCTATATAAAAACATGATGTAGCATAGCATAGCATAGAATAACATAACATAACATAAC